CGAGGTAGTTAATATCTCCTAGCCACCGTGATGATGAGAGAGAGAGACACGCAAACTTCAAATACACAGCTGGTGTCAGGATCGGGATCGAACCCATGACCTCCTGCATACCAGGCGAGGTAGTTAACATCTCCTAGCCACCGTGATGATGAGAGAGAGAGACACGCAAACTTCAAATACACAGCTGGTGTCAGGATCGGGATCGAACCCATGACCTCCTGCATACCAGGCGAGGTAGTTAACATCTCCTAGCCACCGTGATGATGAGAGAGAGAGACACGCAAACTTCAAATACACAGCTGGTGTCAGGATCGGGATCGAACCCACGACCTCCTGTATACCAGGCGAGGTAGTTAATATCACGCCACCGTGGCGCCCCAAGTGATATCTGAACCGGTCCTGGGTTATCGCCCTTCATCAACGCACGCCGACCGGTGTGGTGAAGTATGGTCAAACAACCCTCACGACTGACGCAGCCTTGCGGGGGGGAGGGGTGGTGGGGGGGGGGATGACTACATCCATCCAGCAGTAGATTGACAAAAGGGGCGGCACATTGTTACTATTAATCTAACGCATCAAACTAATGGCGTGCGTGCTCATATCGACGACTGTCGCCTTTGTGATGATCCGGCGAATTCCGTAACCGCGGAGAGGCGGTTACTCCGGCCGAAGTAACCGATCCGAGGCCCACCGGCGTTTGGGACGTGACTCACCACGGTCAAGAGAAACCTCCCGCCGCCGCCGCCGCCGCCGCCGCCGCCACCGGGCGGAATTTCCACCGCGTTTAGGATTCCTTCCCACTCGGCTCACGTCGTTGCCTGCTGCGGTCTCTCCTTGACGACGCTCGCCCACCAGCCCCCTCCCGTTCGCTCGCTCGCTCACTCGCCAAGCTGTGGAAATGTTTTGTTTTGCCAAGTTTCAGCAATTTTCCACGAGCCCCACAAACCCCCTGCCGCCCGCCCGCCCCCGCCCGCCCGCCCCACCCCGTTCAGGTGTAGCGAGTGTCTTTTTATTCTTTTCTAGCCCGTGGCGCGATAGTTCCATTTTACTGGGGGGGGGGGGGGGGGGGGGGACTACTGTGTGTTGTATTGGCGAGGTCCTGGACTTGTCCTGCTGTTGTAGCTGCCTTGCCCAGGCTCGTGAATCTCTGCACTTGTGCAATTTTAACTTGCGGCGCCTTTTTTTTGTTTGTTTCGCTATTTGCTTGCGTCTCCTACACTTTGCACCCCCCGCCCGTTTGTCTGTGTTGTTTACTGCCGTAGCTCTGTGACTCCCACCCAACGTGTGCAAAAGAGCTTCGTAGCTCATCGGATTTCTCCAGGGTAAGATGAAGATTGTGATTGCTGAACGCGCGACGTTCCCGGCGAGGCCGCAGCGCACGAACTCACGGTGGGGGGGGCGGGGGGGGGGGGGGGGCCCGTCGTGACGGAGCTTCCACTCGTCCCCAGCTTTGTCGCGCGGACGTTTTGCTGGTTGCAATCTCAAGCGGGCCGCCCCGGTTAACAATGCGGTGGGTGGGGGGGCGGGGGGGGGGCGGCGAAATTAACCGTAAAAAATACGACGGGCGCCGCCTCCGTTAGTTGAACGACGTCTTTCGGGAAACGGCTTGCCCACTCGCGTGCCCCTTGTGTAAGACGACGTAGCGAGTTTCTTCTTTTGGCGGGTTTGGAAAGTCAAATTTGGAAGCGCGAATAGGTTTTCTCGATCGGCGTTGAAGGGCGGAGCGGCGTCATCCCCTTCCTGCCAACACTTGGTGGGGGGGGGGGGGACCTCCTGGAAAAATAAATCGGATTCTGTATTTATAGCGGCAGGAGGAATCCGATGAGCTATAAAGCTGTTTTTTTTTTCCCTCCCACAGATGTCCAGTTGGGGCACGGGTTCAGAACGTTACAACAACAAACACATTAACAAAAACACCGATAGGTCGTGCAAAGTCAATCTTGATTTGAAGCTTTCGTTCCACGCCGCTGCATCAACATCAACCGCCTCAGCAGTTTTCCTGCTGTGTTTGTCTCACCTGATGACGATTGCTTGTGCTGCGATCGAAACGTCGTGATCCATTCATTTTCCGTCTACGTGACTTCACCGAAAGAACCAAAGATTAAGGAGTGCAAAGTACAAGAAAGGTAAACACAAATCGCCCAAAAACATACAAATTGAACGGAACCATCCCCATCCTACCAGGCAAAGCCCACTGAGGCGTTAACTTATTTGCCAGAAGCGAGCTGGCGATCACGGATGATAAGAGCCTTGAGACTCGGCGCGAGGCATCCCCGGGAAGACAAGCGGAATGACAACAACGCACGGTAACAGCACACGGACGGAGATACGCAGTGTACACACGCGAGAGCCACGCACACACGCACACGCACACACACACACGCACGCACACGCACAAGCGCGAACACGTGGTTTTTACGTTTGGGTCTACAGGGCGGCGTCAGCGGCCGCCTCCTCGTGCTCTTCTCCCCTCCCCTCTCCCCTTCTGGCGAAGTTCCTTTGCCCGTCCCTGCTCCCCCACGTCCAGTGCACGTGGTTGTTGCGTTGTACCGCTTCAACCAAGACACACGCACTTTGCGTCTTCTTCCCTTCCACGCCGCTCCCCCCCTCTCCAGAATTGAGCTCGGTGATGTTTTCATCGTTGCAGCTGGTTGTGCGCCGGTGTAAAACTAACATGGCGGTGGTTGGCGTTGTGTTTTCCCCCCTCTCTCTTCTAATAATAATTGCACTCTCTCTCTCTCTCGCCACGGTCTCAAACGTGACGTCTCCGGCGGCCGCGGTTTTGAGCGGACCGTCCGAGAGGTCACGAGCAAGCGCCGCCGCGCGTTAATGGGATTCGGCCTATCGATCCCTAATTATAGGGCTGCAGAGCTTGGGCAATAGTTGCTCGCGCCGGTACTGACCGCCTTCCTTACCCCCCCCCCCCCCCCACCCCGCTCGTCTGCAGCTCGGAGTCGACGAATACGTAACTTTATCTTTTAAGAGGAGCGGCCCAGCTATAGGATCCGTCGAGAAGGAAATGAGCGATGGGGAGACGTGTTGGGCATTGGTGGTGGGGCGTTCTGCCCGCCGGATCACCGGCGCGGTCGCTCTCCCGCGCTCGCGTGCGTCTGCGTCGCGGTACCGCCGCCGTGAAAATGTGCGGCCCGAAAATGCTAGAAAAAAATACACCGACATATTTCGAAACGTCAGCCGTGATTAATGTCCGCCACGGTCTGCTCTCGCGGGAGGTCAGATAAGGCCCGGGATTAAGGAACGTGCAAATCCGTACCACATGTTGCGACCGCTCGCTTCCGCGGTGCGCACACTCCCAGCGTTGTTGCACGCCGCTGCGTAAACAACATCATCATCATCAACATCGTCGTCAGCGGCTTCATCGTGAATTTTTTTATGTTAATATAATTGTAGTTGTTATTAGCCACGTGGCGGTTTGCCGGTCGAGCGTGCGTGCGTGCGTGCGTGCGAGCGAGAGGTTCCCGTCGAATTCACGGTTGGTCGGAGGTTGACTCGGGCCATTGTCCATCTGGCGGCGTTAAAATAAGCACCACTCTGGTCGGGAAGCCGGCAGCGGTTTGTCCTATGGATAAGCCTCGGCCCCGCCAGACGAACGTGGAGTTTCCACGACTGGCTCGGGGGGCTGTGTGGAGGAGATGAGCGGCACCGTCTGCTTCAACGCCCATCTGAGCACCGAATAATAATAATAATGCTAACTTGTAACGTGCACAATTTTCACTTTGCTCGAAGGCAGCCACCCTGCGACCTTTATTTTTGACAGTGGCAGCCAATCGATAAATGATGACACTGAGTGCATTAACGGTGACCTGAACGTGAGTAGTCATACCGAACGCATTTTTTTTATATTATCCGTACAGTATGAAATATAATCGGAAAATGTTGTCCAAATCTTAACGACAACCAATCTGATATCCCAACAAACGAGACCCACACCTTCGCTTTTGAAACGACGACAACGGCTGCATCTTTTCCTCGCCCACTCCCACGCCCCCCGCCGCCTCTCTCCACCCAGCGGTGGGTTTCCCCACGGCAGGTCGCTTGCGCTGGGGTCAAAGTGTGGGGACTCCCGCCCAGAGTTGTCTGGCCAGCGCGGAGGGCGAGGCCAACCACCTCTGGAGCCACCCCCCCCCCTCCACCCCACAGTGGCTAGGAGATGTTAACTACCTCGCGTGGTATACAGGAGTTAGTGGGTTCGATCCCGGACTCTGACGCCTGCTGCTGTATATTTGGAGTTTGCGTGTCTCTCTTTCTCTCATCATTATCACAGTGGCTAGGAGATGTTAACTACCTCGCCTGGTGTACAGGAGGTCGTGGGTTCGATCCCGAACCCTGACGCCTGCGGTTTATTTGGAGTTTGCGTGTCTGTCTTTCATCATCATCATCATCATCACGGTGGCTCGGAGATGTTAACTACCTTGCCTGGTGTACAGGAGTTCGTGGGTTTGATCCCGGACCCTTGACGCCTGCTGCTGTATATTTGGAGTTTGCGTGTCTCTCTCTCTCTCTCCCCGTGGTCGCGTGGATTTTTCTCCAGGTCCTCCGGATTTTCCCCTCCACATTTACAATCGACGCCACGCGGTTTAGAGTACTTTTCCTGCCGCTATAAATGTCCACGTGGTGATGATAAGCCACTTCGTTGTGGTGGCCGAGGCCAGTGGGGCCTTACCTGGTAAAAATAAAGGCGTTATTTCGTCTGATCGGCTTGGAAGAGTATGGCAGGGGTACCCTCCGGAGCAGTGCTTCTTATAACCTGGGGTGCACGCAAGCGCCCCCCTGGGCGTGCGAGATGCCCTTTCCGGGGGGTGCGAGACGCGGACAGATTTTAGTCGGAATAGTTGAATGGCTTTTCCCTCGATAGACGGGGGGGGGGGGGGGCGACCGCTCGACCTTACGGTGGCGCGAGCCGGGGACACTGCGGGTGGGCGCCTTCGCGAGTCCACGCAGGAGGTGTAACACGCCGTCTCGTCGTCCTGTGCGCCGCGCAGGTATCTACCTGTCGGATCTCATCTACATCGACTCGGCGTACCCGGCCTCCGACAGCATCATGGAGAACGAGCAGCGCTCCATCCAGATGAACAACATCCTCAGGGTCATCTCGGACTTCCAGCAGTCCTGCCACTACGGTAACCTTTGACCCGGGCGGCGCCGTCCGGAGCGGGGCGGAGGAATCCTCCGGCGCGCCGCGGGTCGACGAGCCGTTTGGTTCCACGGCTCGCGGGTTTTGAAAATTAATTTTCCTCTTTCTTTCTTTCTTTCTTTTTTTCTTTCTTTTTTTCGTTCCTTTTTTTATTTTTATTTCCTTTTTTCTTTCTTTTTTCTTTCGTTCCTTTTTGTCATTTTTATTTTTTTATTTTTCCTTTTTTCTTTCTTTTTTCTTTCGTTCCTTTTTGTCATTTTTCTTTCCTTTTTTATTTTTCTTTCTTTTTCTTTCGTTCCTTTTTGTCATTTTTCTTTCCGTTTTTATTTGTCTTTCCTTTTTCTTCTTTCCTTTATTTTTCTTTCCTTTTTTTACAAACGTTTTCTTCATTTTTTTCATTCTTTTTGTTTTCAAAGCTATTTTATTTCTACGCAATCCGTTTTGCACCGCTTGTGCGTTACGCAACGTATAAACGCAAACGGTGCGTGCCGCACGCGAAGGCATGCGCGGCCGGAGAGAGACGCAAACAAACGCAAACGTTCAAACGGTCTGTGCCGTCGCCGTTAACTCGGCGCCACGGTGGTCAGGAGATGTTACCTCCCTCGCCTGGTGTGCAGGAGATCGCGGGTTCGATGCCGACCCCCGACGCCTGCTGTATACTTTGAGTTTGCGTGTCTCTCTCTCTCTCTCTCTCCCCGTGGACGCGTGGATTTTTTTCCTCCGGGTCCTCCAATTTTTTCTCTCCGCATTTGGAATCGTGAGTTTCGGAGTATTTGTCTGCTATACATTTCCACGTAACGACGACGACGACGATGATGATGATGATGATGATAAGCCGCTTCGTCGAGCAATTAATTGTGAGTTGCCAGGTCGCTTCTGAAAAAGATCTTCAGAACAGCTCCGTGGGGCCTTACCTGGTAACAATAAAAATCTCGTCAATAGTTTGTAGGATTTCAGCCGGCCAACCACAGCGACGATCACCACGACTTCTCACGCGTCGTGAGTTGGTGCTCTCGACGGTGTAATTAATGCAGCGTCATGGGTGCGCGCACGATGAACTTTCATTTTTTCATGCAAGACGGCAACGGAGACGGAGAGTCCCGTTGGCGAGCGGGGCGGTGTACGGGGTCGTAAGGGGGAGCCAGGTCCACTGTGAACGAGCGCGTAACGTCTAGCCCGTGCCGTTTGCACAACCCCAGGGGGTTGACGGGGTCGGGAGTGGCGGCCGATGGCCGTCTTCTGCCGTGCCACGACGGTGGCGGGGGAGGGTGGGAAGAGAGAGACGCGCGGTGTGGGGTGGGACGGACTGCCGACCGAGAGTTGGGGGGGGGGGGGGGGGGGGTCCGTCCTCGCTTGCGAACGGCGAGGTGTTTTCATGCGAGGCCGAAAGATAGCGCAGGTGGCACATCTGGCGAGGCTTTTCACCGGCGCACACCGATCGCCAGGCGACGCACTCCGTGGGCTCTCTCGCTCCACATTCCCGTCACTATTATTGTTGCTCAACTTGGAAGTGGCGAAGGTTTCGTAGCCGGTGTTGGTGCCAGTACGCGCCGCCTCTCCGCTCGTTTGCGCCGAACTCAAACGAAGGCGGCATTTCGAGATGCGGTCCCCCGGGGCGAGTGGTGCCATCGCGTCGAGTGAAAATTATTTTAGATTCGTGTTTTTGTTCGCAACTTTAGAAAGTTGTCTGCCGTCCGGCCAGCTATTACGGTGGGCCGGGGGGGCGGGCCGGTGACGCGGGCCCAGCCGTGATGCGGGGGTGGGCGGTGGGGGGGGGGTCCCCGTTTGTTGCAGAGTTTCACGGTTTCAGATCCGGCAGGCCGCCCCGGTTAATGCTGTGCGGGCGTCTTGACCCGTAACCAAACAAACGCAACGCCCTCGTCGCAATTGGACGCCAGAGAGATCCCGTGCAGGTGCCATCGCAAGAGTAGATCAGCGCGTGTGCGCAGCAGCGTCCTTCACGAGCCCCCCCCACCCTGCTCCACAGCAACCGACCCCAACGCTCCCGGTACCGCTCATCGGCGAGCCCAATCGCCTCCACCATCTGTCGTCCACTACCACAACTCGCGCGCTCGCTCTAGACGCGCACGCACGCATTCTTGCACGCAGGCACTCGCAATCGCCCCGCCATCGCAGACGGACGCTTTGCTGCCATGCAGTGGAACGCACGCCCGCGTGCTTCACCGAGTGAAAAATGCGTGCGTGTTCGTTTTCCCCTGGTGCCGCGTACCTTCTCTGTACCTCCTCAAAGGCGTACCCCGTCAACCCCATATAATATCAGTGCCTGCCTTGTTACAGGCCAATTCAGACCTTGTCGGTCACCCCGCGCCCCTTATAAATCTCAACGTTCCTTCTGCAAAGTCCCATCGCTAGGGAGAAACGGGAAACAAATAGACAAAAACATTGATTTCATACCCGTGTTGAAACGGCTGTACGCCGTATGGACCTGACAACTTCCCCGTACAAGAATACGGGGCAAACCGTGATGGGTTGACCGCTGTGCCAATTGGCACTATTTTTTTATCCCCCCCCCCATCCCCCCGAGACGTCATAATTGCCGCGTCCGAGACACTCGAACCACCGCTGCTGTGAACCTCGGTTCGAACCCAGGGCCTGGCTGCCTCTACCCCAGACACAGGGGCTCGTGATGGCCGTCTAACGGGTGGGCGGCGGGTGGAGATGTTAAGGATAAGCGAGGGGATGTCAGTGTTGCTTGGGTTGCCATTACGATGACTCGCGTTGACCCAGGATAGAGCCTCCTCGCCGACTCTCCCGACTTGTTTTTCGGAGGGCGCTGTCAGGTTTCTACAGTAGGGGGCGTTCGTGTATGCTCATGCCTATGTAGTGCCTATGTAGTGCCTATGTAGTATGCTGGTGCTGTGTGCGTGTGTGTCGGGAGCGGTGGTGTTGTGGTTATCGCGCAGCGCTATGAACCCCGGCGACCCGGGTTCGATTTCCGCTCGCAGCCGACACCGGTGACGATTATCTGAACCCGGTCCTGGGCCTCCCCTAGGTCGACTCAGCCTCAAATAAGTATCCGGTGCGATGTGTAAACATCGCCGCTGGGGGAGACAAAGGCGGTCGGGCGTGGTGCTGGCCACCCCACCCCCTCGTGTGCCGTTCCGGCCTTCATAGGTGCTCGCTAACAGCACTTGCCCCAACAGTCTGTTAAGGCTACACGGGGGTCTTTGTCTTTGTAGGAGTGCATGCGTTTGCATCACATTTATGCCTCTATTTAAGACTGAAACAGGAGGATTTATCCACAACTCTGACTGTCACCTGATGATGCTGAGTTGTAATTCCTGGCGAAATGTCACACTACTCGAATTGTGAATGTTCTAGTGGGTTTACTTTCCAACACAACCGGTTGGTGCTGTACTAGTAACGAATTGTTAATGTTGTAGTGGGTTTAACTCTCCAACACGCAACCTGTTAGTGCTTTACTAGTAACGAATTGTAAATGTTGTAGTGGGTTTACTCTCCAACACACAACCGGTTAGTGCTGTACTAGTAACGAATTCTCAATGTTGTAGTGGGTTTACTCTCCAACACAGCAATCGGTTAGTGCTGTACTAGTAACGAATTATAAATGTTGTAGTGGGTTTAACTCTCCAACACACAACCGGTTAGTGCTGTACTAGTAACGAATTGTGAATGTTGTAGTGGGTTTACTCTCCAACACAGCAATCGGTTAGTGCTGTACTAGTAACGAATTATAAATGTTGTAGTAGGTTTAACTCTCCAACACACAACCGGTTAGTGCTGTACTAGTAACGAATTGTAAATGTTGTAGTGGGTTTAACTCTCCAACACACAGCCGGTTAGTGCTGTACCAGTAACGAATTGTGAATGTTGTAGTGGGTTTAACTCTCCAACACACAACCGGTTAGTGCTGTACTAGTAACGGATTGGCCGCGTTTTGCTTACGTGACACAACCTCACCGATTGGCCGTTTCGGGTGTTGGCGGCGGGTTTAACGACGCAGCATTCATATTTACGCGCGCAAACCAAAAAAACTCTTTTTATAATGGGGTAGCACGCCCCGCTACGAACCCGGCGACCGGAGTTCGATTCCCGCTCAGGGCCTCTACCATCTCCGCCGCCGCCTTGCATTTACGCTGGCTACACGGTTCGTTTTGGACGTCGCGTTTCGTATTTTTTTGCGGGTGTCTCTGCTCCTCTCGGGCCGTGCCTGCCCTCGCGCGGCGCGCCGTGCCGTTTGTGCGTTCCGTTTGAAAAAGAATGTCTCGTGTCTTTGCGCAGAGCTGCCTTTCCTGAGCCACGTGCAGAAGTATCTCAAGTCCGTGCGTTACATCGAAGAGCTGCAAAAGTTCGTAGAGGACGACAATTACAAGTGAGTGGCTCGCTCGCTTGCAGCGATGTACGCGCGCGCGCGCACGCGCGTGTGCGGGGCTGACGTGTTAACATCAGCACTGGGGGAGACAAAGGCGGGCGGGCGGGCGGGCATGGTGTTGGCCAGCCACCTTCTCGTGTGCCGTGCCGGCCTTCGTATAGTTGGTTAGCTGTACCACACACTGTGAACCCGGCGACCCGAGTTCGATGCCCACTCACGGCCAACATCGGGTGACGATTGTCTGAACCGGTCCTGAGCCTCTGCCTTCCCTAGGTCGACTCGGCCTCAAATGAGTACCTGGTGCCATGTGTAAACATCGCCACTGCGGGAGACAAAGGCGTCCGGGCGTGGTGCTGGCCAACTACCCACTCGGTGTGCCATTCCGGCCTTCGTTGGTGGTGCTCGCTAACAGCACTTGCCCCAACAGTCTGTCCAGGCTATTTACCGGGGGATCTTTGTGTGTGTGTGTGTGTGTCTTTGTGTGTGTCCGTGTGCAGGCTGTCCCTTCAGATTGAGCCCGGCGCGAGTACACCTCGTCTTTCCTCGTCGAGAGAAGACGTCCCAGGTTTGCCCGGTTTCTCGTCATTCGATCAATCAAAGATTCTCGTTCGCGGCTGGACGTGGCGGGCTCGCGATTCGGAGAGGTCGGCCCGCAAGTTGGGAAGGCCGAGGTGGTCAAACTCGGGTTTGTGCGTCGGCCAATCGCGTTGTCCGACGACGCCTACTGACGCTCAATAAAATTAGCAATCGCGTTGTGAGCAGTGCGATCGTCACGTTGGTTCGGCTGTCGTCCATCCGGTCCTCGTCACGTGTTACGTTGCTGCTGTGTGTGGGATTTTGGCGGTGGTTGAGTCGCACGACCCCCGACCTTCTTCTGCACGTAAACCCTCCCCCCCTTCTACCACAATCCAAACAAGTGCCACCCCACCCCTGCGTCCTAACCAGCAAGAGGCGGGGCCTAACAAGTAAAAGGCGGGGCCTGAAGAAGAAGGGGCGTGTCCTAAAAAGGAAAGGCGCATTGAGCCGGGTTTAGTGCGTCGTCCCGCGTTATCCCACCCAAACGCTCGGGATATACGCTTTGATACGATCGTACTGTGTTAGAAAACAAGTTTTGCTGGCTGGCTGGTGTGACGTTAACTGCCTCGCCCTGGTATCCAGGAGGTCATGGGTTCGATCCGACCCTGACGCTTGCTGTATATATGGAATATGCGTGTCTCTCTCTCTCTCTCCCTCTCCTTCTCCCTGTGGTCGCGTTGATTTTTCTCCAGGTCCTCCGGGTTTTCACCTCCACATTTAGAATCAACATCACAACGCGTTTTGGAGTATTTGTCTGCTATCGATTTCCACGTGACGATAATGAGTCACTTCGTTGAGCTGTCATTTGTGACAGCGAGGTCGCATCTGAAAAAGATCTACATAGCTCAGTGGGCCTTACCTGGTAAAATTACAAAGTCTAGTTTTAGGATGGACGCTCAGGTCCAAAGGACGTGCGGGCTGCTATTTGCACAAAGAGAAGTATGTTTTGGGAATTTGTATTATGATTATAATTAAACAAGAGCCCAGGACAAAGCGCGAGCTACGGGGAGGAGTACTACAAGTTAAACATTTAAAAATACCAATGATTAAATTGCGTAAGCCATGCTGTCATCCTCCTCCCCCCTCCTTCGTCACCGCCCCCCCCTCCACCCTCACCCCTGACAGTTCACGCCCCCTGCCCGGCCCCCCCCCTCACCGGGCCCCACCACTCGCCCGGCGCCCCCCTGCCTGGCACCGCGCGGCTCCCCCGTCGTGTCCACCCCGCCGGGGGTGGGGGCCCGGTGCCTCCCGGCACAGAGACACCGCAAGAGCCACAGCCTGGGCTACTGGTGAGTGATTATTGCATCCACTCATTAACCTAACGATCCACAGCCTGGGCTACTGGTGAGTTATTAATGCATCCACTCATTAACCTAACGATCCACAGCCTGGACTACTGGTGAGTGATTAATGCATTCGCTCATTAACCTAACGATCCACAGCCTGGGCCACTGGTGAGTGATTAATGCATCCACTCATTAACCTAACGATCCACAGCCTGGACTACTGGTGAGTGATTAATGCATTCGCTCATGAACCTAACGATCCACAGCCTGGACTACTGGTGAGTGATTATTGCATCCGCTCATTAACCTAACGATCCACAGCCTGGGCTCATGGTGAGTGAGTGAGTGAGTGAATCAGTCACTCACCAGGAGCACCACGGTGGCGAGATGTTAACTCCCTCGCCTGGTATACAGGAGGTCGCGGGTTTGATCCCGACGCTAACACCTGTATATTTGCAGTTTGCGTGTGTCTCTTCCTGTGGTCGCATGGATTTTTCTCCGGGTCCTCCGGTTATTCCCCACTTTGCTGAGCTATCATTTGTGATAACCAGGTCGCTTCTGAAAAAGAGCTATATAGCTCAGTGGGCCTTACCTGGTAAAATAAAAAATAGTTTAGACTGATTAATTCACTCACTAATGTAGCGAGCCACAGTCTGAGCTGCTGGTGAGTGATGAATGCATTCGCTCATTAATATAACTAGCCACAGCCTGGGCTGCTGGTGAGTGACTGACTCATGAACCCATTCACCTAACTTGACCGTAACCTGTTTGTGTTTTGTGCTCAGCATGGTGCCGCGTCTTAGCGACGTGGAGGTACGGAGCGCCACCTTCCCGCACGGCCGCGCGAGACACCTGCTGGACGACAGCGTGCTGGAGGGGGGTGGCGGCACGTCACCCCGCAGCCACGCCACCTCCGCCTCCAACGGACTCTCCCTCGGTACGGTCGCCCGCTCGCTCGCCCACTCGCTCGCCCACTCGCTCGCCCATATGCGCACTCACTCATACACACACTCGTACACACATTCATACAAGCACTTATCCACTCGCTCACTCATACACTCACCCGCTTATACGCTCACTCGCTCATTCACTCACTCATACACTAACTTGCTCGTTCATGTGCTCGTTCATTCACACACTCATACGTTCACTCTTACACGCACTCGCTCAACCACTCACTTACTAACTCGCTCGCTCATAAGCTCACTTGCTCATATTCTCACTCGCTCATATTCTCACTCGCTCATATTCTCACTCGCTCATATTCTCACTCGCTCATATTCTCACTCATAAACTCACTCGTGTCCCCACTTTTATATTCACTCCATCACTTACATACTCAAACACTCACTTAGTCACTCATACACTCACTCATACACACATTCTCATATACTCGTATATGTATTAACTTCTGCACTCGTAAATACACATATACACACTCACCCATATAGTCACTTACTCACTCATGCCCTCACTCATACAATTACCCACTTATATACTCTCTCATATGTATGTGTGCGTGTGCATGTGTGTACACGTCTGTGTACACGGGGAGGGTTAGTGTAGTGGTTAGCTCGCTGTGCTACGAACCTGGCGACCCGGGTTCGATTTCCGCTCACAGCCAACACCAGTGACAATTATCTGAAACGGTCCTGGGCCTCCCCGAGGTCGACTCAGCCTCAAATGAGTACCCGGTGCGATGTGTAAACATCGCCACAAAGGCGGACGGGCGTGTTGTTGGCCACCCACTCCGTCGTGTGCCGTGCCGGCCTTTGCAGTCACTGCTCGCTAACAGCACTTGCCCCAACAGTCTGTTACAGGCTATACGTGAGACCTTTGTCTTTGTTGTTATATGTACGTGTGTGTGTGTGGATGAGCGGTGGGCTCGGCGGTTAGCGCGCTGGGTTACGAACCCGGCAGAGGCCCGAGTTCCGACTCCTGCTCACGGCCAACACCACCGTTGAATATCCGAACCGGTGCTGGGCCTCCCCTAGGTCGACTCAGCCTTAAACGAGTGCCCGGTGCGGTGCGGTGTGTGGTGAGCACGAGGAACCGGGGAGACAAAGGCGGCTCGGCCGTGGTGCCGGCCACCCTCCCGCCTCGCGCGCCCTGCCCCCCTCTCGCAGGTTTGCTGCTCGCCAGCAGCACTTGCCCCAGCAGCGTGTTGAAGGCTGCGCTCGCTCGGGGGGATCTTTGTCTCTGTGTGTGTGCACCTCCAGGCAGCAGCGAGGGCTCCCAGCAGAGCGAGGACGTCGCGTGGCCTCAGTTTGAGAGGTATACAAGCCGCACCGCCCGCTCTCGCGCACATCTCCCCACCTCTCCCTCCCCCCCCCTAACCCCGCATCCTGCAAATACTCGGGGGTGCGGGCGCACTACCCCCCCGCCCCCTACCGTGGATCGGTCCCCCACCCTCTCGTTTCCGTGGAGGCCACGCGTATCCCGCCCGCGACTGGAGTGGCGTGATCCAGGTCGCCCTCGTGGTGCGGTGGTTGCGTTGTGAGGGGCGACGCAAGAGAGAGGCGAGGATTGACGGTCGCAATGCCGCGGTAGCGCAGTTGCAAACTGGAACTCCTCTCCTGGCAGATGTTGTGGGCATTCCCATGGCCTCCCTCCCTTGCCCTCCCTCCCACCCTCCCTTCCACCCTCCCTCCCACGCCCTCCCTCCCTTGCCCACCCTCCCTCCCCCCAAGCCCTCCCTCCCATGCCCTCCCTTCCACCCTCCCTCCCTCCCTCCCATTCCCTCCCTCCCCCCCAAGCCCTCCCTCCCATGCTCTCCCTCCACCCTCTCCCATGCCCTCCCTCCCATGCCCTCCCTCCCATGCTCTCCCTTCCACCCTCCCTCCCATGGCCTCCCTCCCATGCCCTTCCTCCCCCCCACGCCCTCCCCCCCCCAAGCCCTCCCTTCCATGCTCTCCCTCCCTCCATTGCCCTCTCTCCCTTGCCCTCCCTCCCATTCCCTCCCTCCCATTCCCTCCCTCCCCCCCAAGCCCTCCCTCCCATGCTCTCTCTTCCACCCTCCCTCCCTCCCATGCCCTTCCTCCCCCCCAAGCCCTCCCTCCCTCATCCCCTGCCTTCATCTCCACCCCCTTCCCCCCGCCCCCTGTGACGCTGCCAGGGTGCGCTTATACGCGTCCCTGGGCCCTCTGAGCCGCGATGGGAACCACAGCGCGTACCGCGGTCGGTACACGTACGGCAGGTACCTATCTCCCCCCCTCCTCCTACTCCTCACGCCACCCTTGCCTTCCTCACTTCCTCGCCATGCATGCAGCTCCTTCCGCCAGCCTCCCTCCCTCTCTCCTCTCCCCCCCTCTCTCCCCTCTCTCCGCAGGCGTTTGATTGGTCGGCGTTCACAGGTGGCGGGATGCTTTTCTTTGCGTCGGGAGCTACAATGCTGATTAATATTTTAAAGGAAGATGCAATGCCCCTCCCCACCACCCCTCTCTCCAATAAACACAACAGCCAGATGCTATGTCATATAGAATGTGCTGCCCCAGGGACTTGGCCGGTTTGGCATATTAGTCTACGGATCTCTGTGTGAGTCTATGCGTCTCGGCCACATTGCCTGGTTGAATTTGTTAGGCTATGGATCTCTGTGTAAGTCAGTCGGTTTTAGCCACATAGCCTGGTTGGCATGTTAGTCTGCGGATCTCTGTGCGAGCCTATGGGTCTCGGCTACATAGCCTGGTTGGCATATTAGTCTACGGATCTCTGTGTGAGTCTATGAGTCTCGGCCACATAGCCTGGTTGGCATATTAGTCTACGGATCTCTGTGTGAGTCTATGAGTCTCGGCCACATAGCCTGGTTGGCATATTAGTCTACGGATCTCTGTGTGAGTCTGTGAGTCTCGGCCACATAGCCTGGTTGGCATGTTAGTCTGCGGATCTCTGTGCGAGTCTATGAGTCTCGGCCACATAGCCTGGTTGGCATGTTAGTCTACGGATCTCTGTGTGAGTCTATGGGTCTCGGCCACATAGCCTGGTTGGCATATTAGTCTACGGATCTCTGTGTGAGTCTATGGGTCTCGGCCACATAGCCTGGTTGGCATATTAGTCTACGGATCTCTGTGTGAGTCTATGCGTCTCAGCCACATTGCCTGGTTGAATTTGTTAGGCTATGGATCTCTGTGTAAGTCAGTCGGTTTTAGCCACATAGCCTGGTTGGCATATTAGTCTACGGATCTCTGTGTGAGTCTATGAGTCTCGGCCACATAGCCTGGTTGGCATATTAGTCTACGGATCTCTGTGTGAGTCTATGAGTCTCGGCCACATAGCCTGGTTGGCATATTAGTCTACGGATCTCTGTGTGAGTCTATGAGTCTCGGCCACATAGCCTGGTTGACATATTAGTCTACGGATCTCTGTGTGAGTCTATGGGTCTCGGCCACATAGCCTGGTTGGAATTCTGAACCGGGCGGCATCTTCCTTTAAACGTCTGCGAGGAGGTTGAAACTAATCACCTGTCTGCCGCTCCTCCTCCTTACCCCCCCCCCCCCCCCCCCCCCCCCCCCCCCCCCCCCCCCCCCGCGATTACCAAACTCCTTCACGGTACCACTGGGACTGCAACGTGGGCCACCACACCGTGGCTTTCAACCTCGGCTAAACCCTCGCACGGTTCCCCCCCCCCCCCCAACGGTTTCGGCAGCGACGGTGGCCGCACCAGCCGTGCGCCCCCCCCCCCCCCCCCCCCCCCCGGTGGCCTCCTCTTGCTTCCACGACGACCGCGGCAAAAACGGAACGCCGCCTGCTCTCGGCGTCCCGCTCGCTGCACTGCCCAGAGGGTGCTCGGCGGGGAAGCGGTGGTGGTGGGAATCGTGGGGGATTTGCGGGCGGGCGGGCGGGCGGGCGGGCGACGTTTGGCTGGTTGGGCCCTGCTGTGGCGTTTGGAGCGAACCGGCGTCCCCCACTTGTTGTTAGCCGTGGCCGGGGAGTTGAACTCGCGTCTCCGCTGCCTTGGTAGCTCAGCTCGCTAAACCGCTGCGCCGCACTGCTCCCACCCCTTGAGGGTGGAGCGGTGCTCATTTTGCCATCCTCACACGGAGGGAGTGAACGAGCCGAGAGGCCGATTCGACTTCTGACCACGAATTTTGTGGCACGTGGCCTTGCCCACGCGGTAGACGTGCTCGTGGGCCGGGACCGCCGCCCGTCTGGACGCCGTCACCGCTTTTCCGCTGGCACATCCGAGCCGAACCGGCGCAGAGCCCCCGGATGCTTTTCCACCGGCCGTTCGCCGAGCTGACCCGCAACCGAAGCGTTCGTACGCCGGCCTCGTAGGGCGACTCGAATCTGGCCTGACTGAAAAAAAAAGAATTTTAAAAGTTGTTTCTGTCCCCTGCAGTTCCCCCGCCACCCCGCTGTCGGGGGTGACCAGCCCGGTCGCTGGCGCCGTCACCATCGAGGGAGCGCTCAAGAGGAAGACCCTGCTCAAGGACGGGCGCAAGCCGGCGGTAAGAGCGCTGCACCCTCCTTCGTCAGCCCAGCGTGGCCCTGCTGCTGCGTGCGATAGACGGCTGTGGACCGCGTGTGGTGTCGATGCTAGTCGGGCGCGTGATGATTGCAGCAATGCAGTATATACGTGTGTATGTTGAACTTCTTTTTGACCGAACGTAGCCAACCGCGCTAATCGGAGGTGCAGTGTTGAGTCTATGGGCAGTGTTAGTCTATGGGCAGTGTTGAGTCTATGGGCAGTGTTGAGTCTGTGGGCAGTGTTGAGTCAATGGGTAGTGTTGAGTCTATGGGTAGTGTTAGTCTATGGGTAGTGTTAGTCTATGGGCAGTGTTGAGTCTGTGGGTAGTGTTGAGTCTATGAGCAGTGTTGAGTCTATGGGCAGTGTTGAATGTATGTGCAGTGTTAGTCTATGGGTAGTGTTAGTCTATAGGCAGTGTTAGTCTATGGGCAGTGTTAGTCTATGGGCAGTGTTGAGTCTATGGGTAGTGTTGAGTCTATGGGTAGTGTTGAGTCTATGGGTAGTGTTAGTCTATGGGTAGTGTTAGTCTATGGGTAGTGTTGAGTCTATGGGTAGTGTTAGTCTATGGGTAGTGTTGAGTCTATGGGCAGTGTGCGTCGATGGACAGTGTTGAGTCTATGGGTAGTGTTGAGTCTATGGGCTTGGTTAGTCTATGGGCAGTGTTGAGTCTATGGGCAGTGTTGAGTCTGTGGGTAGTGTTGAGTCTATGGGCAGTGTTGAGTCTATGGGCAGTGTTGAATGTATGTGCAGTGTTAGTCTATGGGCAGTGTTGAGTCTATGGTTAGTGTTGAGTCTATGAGTAGTGTTGAGTCTATGGGTAGTGTTAGTCTATGGGTAGTGTTAGTCTATGGGTAGTGTTAGTCTATGGGTAGTGTTGAGTCTATGGGTAGTGTTAGTCTATGGGTAGTGTTGAGTCTATGGGCAGTGTGCGTCGATGGACAGTGTTGAGTCTATGGGCAGTGTTGAATATATGTGCAGTGTTAGTCTATGGGCAGTGTTAGTCTATGGGTAGTGTTGAGTCTATGGGTAGTGTTGAGTCTATGGGTAGTGTTGAGTCTATGGGTAGTGTTGAGTCTATGGGTAGTGTTAGTCTATGGGTAGTGTTAGTCTATGGGTAGTGTTAGTCTATGGGTAGTGTTGAGTCTATGGGTAGTGTTAGTCTATGGGTAGTGTTGAGTCTATGGGTAGTGTTGAGTCTATGGGTAGTGTTGAGTCTATGGGCAGTGTTGAGTCTATGGGCAGTGTTGAATGTATGTGCAGTGTTAGTCTATGGGCAGTGTTGAGTCTATGGGTAGTGTTGAGTCTATGGGTAGTGTTGAGTCTATGGGCAGTGTTGAATGTATGTGCAGTGTGAGTCTATGTGCAGTGTGTATGTACGTATGTTGAACTTCTTTCGCACCGTACGTAGCCGCCGGGCATGGCGCTGCCCCACCCGCTCCCTTCGCGTGCAGTGCCGGCCTTTGTCGGCGCCGCTCGCCGACGGCACTTGCCCCAACAGTCTGTTGAAGGCTATGCCGGGGGGGGGGGGGGGGTCTTTGTCTGTGTGTAGCTGTCATCGTGGACGCGGTTCTGGGTGGCCCTCACCGGCTCGCTGCTCATCTACTACCCCTCCAAGGCTCTCAAGGCCACGGAGAGGAAGCACGTACGTTACCCCCCACCTCACCACCCCACTTACTCACCACCCAACTTACTCACCACCCCACTTACTCACCACCCCACATACTCACCCTAGCTGTGACCCCGTACTCAAACCCAACACCTCGGCAGCACCCTGCTCAATGTGTGTCCCGCGCCGCGGATTCGCACGGTTGCCTACATACGGTGCAGAAGAAGTTCAACATACACACAACCCATAGACTCAACACTGCCCATAGACTCAACACTGCCCAAAGACTCAACACTGCCCAAAGACTCAACACTGCCCATAGACTCAACACTACCCATAGACTCAACACTGCCCAAAGACTCAACACTGCCCAAAGACTCAACACTGCCCATAGACGCAACACTGCCCATAGACTCAACACTGCCCATAGACTCAACACTGCCCATAGACTAACACTCCCCATAAACTCAACACTGCCCATAGACTCAACACTACCCATAGACTTAACACTGCCCATAGACTCAACACTTCCCATAGACTCAACACTGCCCATAGACTCACACTGCCCATAGACTCAACACTGCCCATAGACTCAACACTTCCCATAGACTCAACACTGCCCATAGACTCAACACTGCCCATAGACTCACACTGCCCATAGACTCAACACTGCCCATAGACTAACACTCCCCATAAACTCAACACTACCCATAGACTCAACACTACCCATAGACTTAACACTGCCCAAAGACTCAACACTGCCCTTAGACTCAACACTGCCCATAGACTTAACACTGCCCAAAGACTCAACACTGCCCATAGACTCAACACTGCCCATAGACTCATCACTGCCCAAAGACTCAACACTGCCCATAGACTCAACACTGCCCATAGACTCAACACTGCCCATAGACTCAACACTGCCCATAGACTCAACACTACCTACCCATAGACTCAACACTGCCCATAGACTAACACTGCCCATTGACTCAACACTGCCCATAGACTCAACACTACCCATAGACTCAACACTACCCATAGACTTAACACTGCCCAAAGACTCAACACTGCCCTTAGACTCAACACTGCCCATAGACTAATACTGCCCATAGACTCAACACTACCCATAGACTAACACTGCCCATAGACTCAACACTACCTACCCATAGACTCAACACTGCCCATAGACTCAGCACTACCCATAGACTCAACACTACTCATAGACTCAACACTGCCCATAGACTCTGCACTGCACCTCCGACTAGCACGGTTGGCTACGTACGGTGCGGAAGAAGCTCTACGTACGTATCTGGGTGTCATGCGTGTGTCGGGGAGCATTGGTGCAGCGGTTCGCGCGCCGCCGTACGAACCCGACGACCCGAGTTCGATTCCCGCTTACGGCCAACACCAGTGGCGATTATCTGAACCGGTCCTGGGCCTCCCTTAGGTTGATTCAAACTTAAATGAGTTTCTGGTGCGGTGTGTAAACATCGCTACTGGGGAGGCGAAGGCGGCCGGGCGTGGTGCTGGCCACCCACCCCCTCGTGTGCCGTGCCGGCCTTCATAGGTGCTACTCGCTAACAGCACTTGCCCCAGCAGTCTGTTAAGGCTACACGGGGGAACTTTGTCTTCGTATAAACGTGGGAGCGGCAGGGTTGCGGGTCGCGCCCTGCGCTACGAACCCAGGCGACCCGAGTTTGATTCCCGCTCGCGACCAACAGCCGGTGTCAAACTATTTGTACCGGGACGTGGGCTTCCCCCGAAGTCGACTCGGCCTTAAGCGAGTTACCTGTCACAGTGAGTACCTTGGTAGGCGCCGCTCGCTCCCACCGGAGTCTGTTGTTCGAGGCTGCCGGACGGGATCTTTGCCTTTGTGCCGCCCGTGCAGTTTAAGTCGGTGCCGTGCAAGGTGGTCTCCGTGCTGGGCTGGATGTCGGTTTTGCCCGACCTTCCCGAGCACCCCGACGTCTTCCAACTCACCGACTCGGAGAGAGGTGAGGGGCAGCAGCCGCAGGAACGCTCGCATCGCATCGCATCCCCGGGACGGCCAGATCCCGGAGCCCAAACTCGGGCGCGCGGTGTGTCTGGCTCACAAGACGGACGGGCGCCCAGACAACAGGCGCTCGAACCCGGGGGATCTCTGTGTCGCTGGCTCGCAATCAAGGCACTCGGCCACAGGGGTCGAACCCAGACTCGCAGTGATTCGTGGCTATCATGAGCCGTCAAAGTTACCCAGGCCCAGGGTTTGAACCTTGGTTCTCAGGTGTGTGCCGGCCGAGTGTCTCCAACATGGACCAAAACGCTCGGAATGTGAAACATCGACATCGCCAGCACAGCTGTCAATAGCCGTTATGAGCCTTCAAAGTGGCACCGAGTCCCGAGGCTTGAACCTAGCCCCACCACCTTAGGGGTGTGTTCCCTAATGATCCCAACATGGCGATTATATGTGAGCCCAAATTTTTTTGTAGCGACACTTAAAGACTCGGGGGGGGGGGGGGGGGGGGGGGGGTGGGGCACGAATGACCCCAGGACCTCAGGTGAATTTCTCGTTCACTCTGACAAACGGCCATTGATGAACCCAGTGGGAGAGAGGCACTTAACCTCCGGTTGTCTAACCCCAGATGTTTCCTCGATGTTCTCGGCACGGCCGTTACGAGCTCTTAACCTCGAGGTAGCCAGCTCTCCCCCTCCGCCCCACAGGGCTTCGACCCTGCGACCTCGTCACAGCCGTCGGGATGTGTTCTTTGGGTAGACGGTGGGCCAAAACTCTGCACAGAAGGAGCCGTGGAATGTCAGGGCAGAGGGCGATTTTAACGATGCACGACAAGCCAAGCCGCCCGCCGCGGGCGCTGCGGTGGACCGCACGCCCGGGGAATCGCGATCCGGAGGGCGCCGTTCGATTTTGTCTCCCGGCGGCGCGGCGGTTGAAGCAACGGGGCACGATTACCCCCCCCCCCCCACTCCCCCCCCACACACATCCACCCACTTTTCATCCAACCCACCCCAACCACCCACCTACCATCCATCCACCCCTACCCACCCACCCATCCACCCACCCACACCTACCGACCCAGCCCTACCCATCCACCCACCCACCCACCCCCTACTCATCTAACCACCCATCTCCACAGACCCACCCACCCCGACCCACCCACCCACCCCGACCCACCCACCCACCCACCCCGACCCACCCACCCACCCACCCCGACCCACCCACACCTACCCACCCACCCCGACCCACCCCTACCCACCCACACCCACCCCTACCCACCCATCCACCCACCCCTACCCATCCACCCTCACCCCTACCACCCATGCCTACCCAACCCCACCCACCCCTACCCATCTACCTACCACTACCCACCCACCCCTACTCAACCCTAACCATCCACCCACTCCTCCTACCCATCCACTCACCCCTAACCAACCCCACCCACCCACTCACACCTACCCAACCCCACCCACCCCTTCCCATGTACCCACCTACCTTACCCACCCACCTTACCCACCTTACCCACCCACCCACCTTACCCACCCACCCCTACCCATCCACCCACCCACCCCTACCCACCCATCCACCTACTCACCCCGACCCATCCACCCACCCAACCCCACCCACCCCTACTCATCTACCTACCCCAACCCATCCACCCACCCACCCACTCCTACCCACTCCTACCCACTCCTACCCACTCCTACCCACCCACCCACCCACCCCCCCCATGGGTGTGCACCGCGGTGAAGTCGATGGGCAGGGTCACCACGTGCGGCGAGGTGAAGCGTGTGTACTGCCACCCTTATTCAAGAGGTGTGCTGGCCAGCGTGGGAGAGAAGGCCGGGTACCCCTGGGGAGGTGCCACCATGCCCCCCTCCCCCTCACCGCCGTGCCCCCCATGGCCCCCTCCCCATGCTCCCCCTTACCGCTCTGTCTCTTCCCCCTGCGGCGGCGGCGGCGGCGGCGTCGTCATCGTCGTCGCTGTCATCCCCTACAGGCAACTCGTACAAGTTCCAGGCGGGGACGAGGCTCAACGCTCACCTCTGGCACAGGCACCTGGACAGCTCCTGCAAGAGCAACCGTCCGCAGGTGAACTCCAGCGCCCGGTTCAACACCCGGTCCACCGCTCGGTCCACCACTCGTTTCACCGCTCGGTCCACCGCTCATTTCACCGCTTGGTCCACCACTCATTTCACCGCTCGGTCCACCACTCATTTCACCGCTCGGTCCACCACTCATTTCACCGCTCGGTCCACCGCTCATTTCACCGCTCGGTCCACCACTCATTTCATCGCTCGGTCCACCGCTCATTTCATCGCTCGGTCCACCACTCATTTCACCGCTCGGTTCACCACTAATTTCATCGCTCGGTCCACCACTCATTTCACCGCTCGGTTCACCACTAATTTCATCGCTCGGTCCACCACTCATTTCACCGCTCAGTCCACCACTCATTTCACCGCTCGGTCCACCACTCATTTCACCGCTCAGTCCACCACTCATTTCACCGCTCGGTTCACCACTAATTTCATCGCTCGGTCCACCACTCATTTCACCGCTCGGTTCACCACTAATTTCATCGCTCGGTCCACCACTCATTTCACCGCCCAGTCCACCACTCATTTCACCGCTCGGTCCACCACTCATTTCACCGCTCGGTCCACCACTCATTTTACCGCTCGGTTCACCACTAATTTCATCGCTCGGTCCACCACTCATTTCACCGCTCGGTCCACCACTCATTTCACCGCTCGGTCCACCACTCATTTCACCGCTCAGTCCACCACTCATTTCACCGCTCGGTCCACCACTCATTTCACCGCTCAGTCCACCACTCATTTCACCGCTCGGTTCACCACTAATTTCATCGCTCGGTCCACCACTCATTTCACCGCTCGGTTCACCACTAATTTCATCGCTCGGTCCACCACTCATTTCACCGCCCAGTCCACCACTCATTTCACCGCTCGGTCCACCACTCATTTCACCGCTCGGTCCACCACTCATTTCACCGCTCGGTCCACCACTCATTTCACCGCTCAGTCCACCACTCATTTCACCGCTCGGTTCACCACTAATTTCATCGCTCGGTCCACCACTCATTTCACCGCCCGGTCCACCGCCCGGTCCACCGCCCGGTCCACCGCCCGGTCCACCGCCCTGCCCTGCCGCAGTGGCGGCCGTCCTGGTTAACCCGGCAGCGGGGGGGGTGGAGTTGACGGTAAACGCCGGGCGTAGAAAGGCCGCGGCGTGCGCCGGCGTCACGTTCCCCAATTTGACCAAAATGCGATGGGTCGCACCGCAACCTCCTCGGTTGGGAAAATCCTCACGGCAACGTCGCCCACCCCCCCCCACCCCCCCCCCCTCCTCTACACGCAGTGGAATAAACCTACCGCAGGCCGCCGCCGCGTTCACATTAGCTTAGCAGTGGCAGCCGTCCACCGGTGGGGGGTGGGGGTGTGGGGGTGTGGGGGCGGTAACCCCTGGGCTAGAGACGCCGTGAGATGCGGCGATCTGAGACCACTGGGGCCGGGCGCAGTTCCGCTGCGTGCAAATCTTTGCCTTCTCCCGATCGTCACCGGAGGAACGTGAACATCGTTCGGGGGCCTCTCGGCGTGGGGCGTGGCTCGCGGTGGGGGCGGGGGTCTCCCGCCCTTCGGGGGGAGAGGCAGGGCCGTGTGTGCCGGGCGGCGGTCAGGCAACTCGTGTGACCGACCAGCTGGTTTTCGCGGCTGAGTGACCGTGCGTCGTTTTTTTTTCTGCTGCGTTCCGACGCTTTGCAGGTGCCGGCGAACCTCATGTCGTTTGAGTGAAGCCGACTGCAAAGGTCCGTTTTGGTGGGGGGGGGGGGACTGCAGGCGCGATGGACGGTGCCATTTACCTGGGGATAGCACGTGGGCAACAACACGTGGAAGGGCAACACATGGAAAACACGTGGAAGATAACACATGGTACGCAACACATGGATAACATATGGAAAACACATGGATAACATGATTAACACATGGATAACATATGGAAAACACATGGATAACATGATTAACACGTGCAAGACAACGCGTGGAAGACAACGCGTGGATAATAACGCATGGAAGCATGAAAACCAAGCTCCCGAGACGTCCTGGTCAATGGGGGGGTAGGCCTAGAAAAAAATCACATCGGGGGGGGGGGGCGAAGACGACGAAAGATTTTGACTGCAAACGTGCAACTCGGCGTGCGGCGACCCCGTCGAGTCCTTCGGCATCTGCGGGACGACGTTTTGCGCGTGCGAAGCCTTCGGGAGGCGGTCCAGGCGGCGGCTCGGCACCCCATCTCCCCCGTCGGAACGACGGGGAAAAGCCTCTCGGGGTCCCGCTCCGGGCATCACCCGGCACCGCAAAGGGATCCGTCACTGTCGAGTCAAATCGGCCGGGTCGCGCGTAGCGACGGGGCGTTTCGGAAATCGTCTGGAACTGCGCGGAAGAGGTGGGGGGGGGGGGAAGAGAATCGGAATCGTTTTTTGTCCTGGGAGAAATCTGATGAGCTGTGAAGATTTTCTGTTTCTTTCTCTCACAGATGTCCAATAGTAGGCCACGCACACGCGCGACGGGCTCTCCCAGAGCGAGCCTTCGACGTGGATTGCCTCTTCTGCCAGCGTCGGGGCAGGCAATTGCAGCGCTGCGCCTTCGCCTCCCGTGCAAAGTTGCCGGAAAATCTTAAGACGTTGCCGTGTTTTCCAGATCGTGAGATGCTACACGTTTCCCTCCCCCACCTCCCCCCCCCCCACGCCCCACCACCACCAACCGGTATTTTAAAGCAAAATTTGGGCGTTGCGTGCACGCAAGAGCGTGGAGTGGGGGGAGGGGGGGGGGGGAGCGGTGGCGCAGCGGTTAGCGCCCTGCGCTCCGAACCCCGGCAGGCCCGAGTTCCAATTCCCGTTCACGGCCAACGCCAAACAGCGGTTTACGATCATCTGAACGGGTCCTGGGCCTCCCCTGGATTGACTCGACCTCAAACGAGTCTACCCTCCCACCCACCCCGCCGGGCACACGCCCCGCGGGGTTGTCGCGTCGCGAGCGAGGCTCCCGTCTCCGTTGTGGGGCGTCTCTTGCGAGGTGGCCCCGACTTCCCCTGTCACGAGTACGCAGGGATCGTGAGCCCCGATTGTTGTTGTTGTTGTTGTAATTTCTCGTTTGACGCCGCCGGTCAGCAAGCGCGGCGGCCGTTGGGGGGCGGTGGCGGGGGGGCGGCGGCCGGTCGGATGGCGCCGCATCTCCGCCGGCGTGTACGTGGAGGGGGGTTTGCGACCGCAGTCGGGGGTCGTTGTCGCAGCTCGCTCTCGCCCCCCTCTCGCTCGCTCGCTCTCGCCCCCCTCTCGCTCGCTCGCTCTCGCCCCCCTCTCGCTCGCTCGCTCTCGCCCCCCTCTCGCTCGCTCGCTCTCGCCCCCCTCTCGCTCGCTCGCTCTCGCCCCCCCTCTCGCTCGCTCGCTCTCGCCCCCCCTCTCGCTCGCTCGCTCTCGCCCCCCCTCTCGCTCGCTCGCTCGCTCTCGCCCCCCTCTCGCTCGCTCGCTCTCGCCCCCCTCTCGCTCGCTCGCTCTCGCCCCCCTCTCGCTCGCTCGCTCTCGCCCCCCTCTCGCTCGCTCGCTCTCGCCCCCCTCTCGCTCGCTCGCTCTCGCCCCCCTCTCGCTCGCTCGCTCTCGCCCCCCTCTCGCTCGCTCGCTCTCGCCCCCCCCTCTCGCTCGCTCGCTCTCGCCCCCCTCTCGCTCGCTCGCTCTCGCCCCCCCTCTCGCTCGCTCGCTCTCGCCCCCCCTCTCGCTCGCTCGCTCTCGCCCCCCCTCTCGCTCGCTCGCTCTCGCCCCCCCTCTCGCTCGCACGCGCGGTGAGGTTAAAGTGTGGGTAGCTCTCACCCCACCGACCCCGTTTCCCACCCCCGCCCCCCCCCCACCGTCTTCCGGGAGGCGTCTGGCGCAGCGTGGAAGAGTGGAGGAGGAGGAGGAGGAGGAGGAGGAGGCGGAGGAGGAGGCGGAGGAGGAGGAGGCCCTTCAGAACGGCGTTCCGGGGGTGGTGGGGGGGGGGGGCGAGCGATTTCAGCCGCTGCTCGTGCGGCCCCCCTCCCCCTCCCCTCCTCCTTACCTTGCCGTGTTTATTTTTTTACCTTTTGCCGATTTTCATTTCGCTTTATTTAGCCCATGTTGGGTTTATGTTTTCAAAGTTGTTTGAGCCGTCAGTGTTAACCTTGAGACGTTGTTTGTTGTTGTTGTTGTCGTTGAAGTCGTCGACTTAGCCCGTTTTGCGTTTGGTAACCCGTTCTGTTTTTTTTTTTTGCGTTAACTTTTATTCATCGCTCTGTGCTCCGCGTTGTAATTTTTTGTTTCTCAATTAGCGTTCGTTAAAGTTTAATTTATTTCTTCGATTTGTTTATTGGGATGAAACCACTTTCCCTCACCGGGAAACTAGCGACGTTTTTGCTGCCTAACCTATGGGGGGAAAAAACGCATGGACGTGCACATACACACACAAAGACAAAGATCCCCCGTATAGCCTTAGACTGTAGGGGCAAGTGCTGTTAGCGAGCACCTATGGAGGCCGGAACGGTACACGAGGGGGTGGGTGGCCAGCACCACGCCCGACCGCCTTTGTCTCCCCAGTGGCGATGTTTACACACCGCACCAGGTACTCATTTAAGTCGACCTAGGGGAGGCCCAGATCCGGTTCAGATAATCGTCGCCGGTGTTGGCCGTGAGCGAGAATCGAACTCGGGTCGCCTCACACACACGTACACACGTAACATACAGCATATATACACGCAGACACACGTACACATACGTACACACATACACATACACACACACGTACACACATAACATACAGCATATATACACGCAGACACACGTACACATACGTACACAGAAACGCATAAGCATGCAAGCACACACACAAGCACATAGACACACGTACACATACACACACGTACACACACACAAACACTAACACACTCGTACACATAATCGGACATACACAGAAACACACAACGCTCGCACCACGTGTGTGCAGGGCGATCAGAAAAGTCTGTGGGCTGTCTTGGAGCGGTGAATCCGCGCGTTCTTAGGATGAGTTCCCATTCAAAGTCCGCCGTTGTTCAGACATTTGATCAAATGTCATGGGAGTAGATGAACGCTTGTTATTTTTCTGACATGTGTTTGAGCTCACCTTACCCTGCACACGACTCGCAGAGAGGGGCTCAGCCTTGGCTCCCAGCGACTCACAGTCAGAGACTCGCAGTCAGAGACTCACAGCCCTGGCTCCCAGCGACTCAGTCAGAGACTCACAGAGACTTACAATCAGAGCCTCACAGCCCTGGCTCCCAGCGACTCAGTCAGAGACTCACAGAGACTTACAGTCAGAGCCTCACAGAGACTCACAGTCAGAGACTCACAGCCCTGGCTCCCAGCGACTCAGTCAGAGACTCACAGAGACTTACAGTCAGAGACTCACAGCCCTGGCTCCCAGCGACTCAGTCAGAGACTCACAGAGACTGACAGTCAGAGACTCACAGAGACTGACAGTCAGAGACTCACAGCCCTGTCCCCCTGCGACTCACAGTCAGAGACTCACAGTCAGAGACTCACAGCCCTGGCTCCCAGCGACTCAATCAGAGACTCGCAGACACTCACAGTCAGAGACTCACAGCCCTGGCTCCCAGCGACTCAGTCAGAGACTCACAGAGACTCACAGAGACTCACAGTCAGAGACTCACAGCCCTGGCTCCCACCGACTCAGTCAGAGACTCACAGAAACTCACAGTCAGAGACTCACAGCCCTGGCTCCCAGCGACTCAGTCAGAGACTCACAGAGACTTACAATCAGAGCCTCACAGCCCTGGCTCCCAGCGACTCAGTCAGAGACTCACAGAGACTTACAGTCAGAGCCTCACAGAGACTCACAGTCAGAGACTCACAGCCCTGGCTCCCAGCGACTCAGTCAGAGACTCACAGAGACTTACAGTCAGAGACTCACAGCCCTGGCTCCCAGCGACTCAGTCAGAGACTCAGAGACTGACAGTCAGAGACTCACAGAGACTGACAGTCAGAGACTCACAGCCCTGTCCCCCTGCGACTCACAGTCAGAGACTCACAGTCAGAGACTCACAGCCCTGGCTCCCAGCGACTCAATCAGAGACTCGCAGACACTCACAGTCAGAGACTCACAGCCCTGGCTCCCAGCGACTCAGTCAGAGACTCACAGAGACTCACAGTCAGAGACTCACAGCCCTGGCTCCCACCGACTCAGTCAGAGACTCACAGAAACTCACAGTCAGAGACTCACAGCCCTGGCTCCCAGCGACTCAGTCAGAGACTCAGAGACTCACAGTCAGAGACTCACAGCCCTGGCTCCCAGCGACTCAGTCAGAGACTCACAGAGACTCACAGTCAGAGACTCACAGCCCTGGCTTCCACCGACTCAGTCAAAGACTCACAGAGACTCGCAGAGACTCATAGCCCTGGCTCCCAGCGACTTAGAGACTCGCAGAGACTCCAAGTCAGAGACTCACAGTCAGAGACTCACAGCCCTGGCTCCCACCGACTCAGTCAGAGACTCACATAAACTCACAGTCAGAGACTCACAGCCCTGGCTCCCACCGACTCAGTCAGAGACTCGCAGAGACTCACAGTCAGAGACTCACAGCCCTGGCTCCCAGCGACTCAGTCAGAGACTCGCAGAGACTCACAGTCAGAGACTCACAGAGACTCACAGCCCTGGCTACCAGCGACTCAGTCAGAGACTCACAGTCAGAGACTCACAGCCCTGGCTCCCAGCGACTCAGTCAGAGACTCACAGTCAGAGACAGCCCTGGCTCCCAGCGACTCAGTCAGAGACTCGCAGAGACTCACAGTCAGAGACTCACAGAGACTCACAGCCCTGGCTCCCAGCGACTCAGTCAGAGACTCACAGCCCTGGCTCCCAGCGACTCACAGTCAGAGACTCACAGAGACTCCCAGAGACTCACAGTCAGAGACTCACAGCCTGGCTGCCAGCGACTCAGTCAGAGACTCGCAGAGACTCACAGTCAGAGACTCACAGAGACTCACAGCCCTGGCTCCCAGCGACTCACAGTCAGAGACTCACAGAGACTCACAGTCAGAGACTCACAGCCCTGGCTCCCAGCGACTCAGTCAGATACTCACAGAGACTCACAGTCAGAGACTCACAGCCCTGGCTCCCAGCGACTCAGAGACTCACAGAGACTCACAGAGACTCGCAGTCAGAGACTCACAGAGACTCACAGTCAGAGACTCACAGCCCTGGCTCCCAACGACCCACAGCCAGAGACTCGCAGAGACTCACAGTCAGAGACTCACAGAGACTCACAGCCCTGGCTCCCAGCGACTCAGTCAGAGACTCAGAGACTCACAGCCCTGGCTCCCAGCGACTCACAGTCAGAGACTCACAGAGACTCACAGTCAGAGACTCACAGCCCTGGCTCCCAGCGACTCAGTCAGATACTCACAGAGACTCACAGTCAGAGACTCACAGCCCTGGCTCCCAGCGACTCAGAGACTCACAGAGACTCACAGAGACTCGCAGTCAGAGACTCACAGAGACTCACAGTCAGAGACTCACAGCCCTGGCTCCCAACGACCCACAGCCAGAGACTCGCAGAGACTCACAGTCAGAGACTCACAGCCCTGGCTCCCAGCGACTCAGTCAGAGACTCACAGAGACTCACAGCCCTGGCTCCCAGCGACTCAGTCAGAGACTCACAGAGACTCACAGCCCTGGCTCCCAGCGACTCACAGTCAGAGACTCACAGAGACTCACAGTCAGAGACTCACAGCCCTGGCTCCCAGCGACTCAGTCAGATACTCACAGAGACTCACAGTCAGAGACTCACAGCCCTGGCTCCCAGCAACTCAGAGACTCACAGAGACTCACAGAGACTCGCAGTCAGAGACTCACAGAGACTCACAGTCAGAGACTCACAGCCCTGGCTCCCAACGACCCACAGCCAGAGACTCGCAGAGACTCACAGTCAGAGACTCACAGAGACTCACAGCCCTGGCTCCCAGCGACTCAGAGACTCACAGAGACTCACAGCCCTGGCTCCCAGCGACTCAGTCAGAGACTCACAGAGACTCACAGCCCTGGCTCCCAACGACTCACAGTCAGAGACTCGCTCACGGGGCATGGCAGAGCGATGGTTTAGCGACAATGAAGCGAGTGGAGTGAGGAGGGCCAGACACACAGTCCGCTGCCTTGTGACCGTGGTGTTTATGATGATAGTAACGACGACGATGATGATGATGACGATAATCGCGATGACTGTGACGAGGGTGACGACAGCAGATGACGACGACAGCAGATGACGACGACGATGGTGCTGATGGTGTTGGTGATGGTAACGTTGATTATGATGATGACGACAATAATAGCGATTAATGTATGTTGAACTTCATTTGCACTGTACGTCGCCAACCGTGGCAGACAGAGGTGCAGTGTTGAGTCTATGGGCAGTGTTGAGTCTATGGGCAGTGTTGAGTCTATGGTGCAGTGTTGAGTCTATAGTGCAGTGTTGAGTCTATGGGCAGTGTTGAGTCTATGGGCAGTCTTTAGTCTATGGGCAGTATGTGTGCATGTTGAATTTCTTTTGCACCGTACGTAGCCAACCGGGATGATCAGAGGTTCCGGACTGATGATGGCGATGATGGGCCAATGATACCGTGCAGGGCAATGAACAGAGGTTCATCAGGCACGTTCACTGCTCTGTCAGCTCACAGACCTTAACATCAGCCCTCGCACGCAAAGACACACACACACGCACGCACACGCCTGTATGTACAGTATTGCACACGTGCATTGGTGTGGACTCGCGTATGTATGCCGTGTTCATACGTTTCACCATTCAGCTGTCCATGTGCGTGTGTGCGTGTGCGCGCGCTCGTGCACACACGCACACACACGTGCACACACGCACACACACGTGCACGTGTGCACGTGTGTATGTGTGTTTGTGCGTGTAAATGTATGCCGAGATATATTCGAGTTTAAACCATTTGATGAGTTACTTTTGCAGTTTGAAGCCGGCTGGACTAATTGGGTGATAAAACAAGACATGCAAATGTTTCCCTGCATTTCCACGCGAATACAACATGCTTATTCAATCCATCGGCCTTGTTGCCTTCCACACTTACGTAAACCATCGGTACAGAACCCTCGTCTCATGCCGTACAGAACCCTCGTCCCATCCCATACAGAACCCTCGTCCCATCCCATACAGAACCCTCGTCCCATCCCGTACAGAACCCTCGTCTCATCCCGTACAGAACCCTCGTCTTATCCCGTACAGAACCCTCGTCTCATCCCGTACAGAACCCTCGTCCCATCCCATACAGAACCCTCGTCCCATCCCATACAGAACCCTCGTCCCATCCCATACAGAAACCCTCGTCCCATCCCATACAGAACCCTCATCCCATACAGAACCCTCGCCTCATCCTATACAGAAAACCCTTGTCCGATGCAGAATCAGAATCTCTTTATCCTGGAGAAATCCGATGAGCTATAAAGCTCTTTTTCACAGACGGTCCAGTAGGGACACGGGGTCAGAAAGTTCCTTACAGAACCCTCATCTCCGACACTGCTCATTAAGGGTGCCTTGGCCCGATTCGTTATTTTCCGAAGATCCTTATAAATTACATTAAAAAAATAAAGAATAAATCTGCGAGTCTTTGACGGCACCCCCCCCCCAAACTCCATGCTCTGCCGTGATAATGTCGGCATGCGAGCACCGCACGTACACACGCGGGGGGCGGGGGGGTGTGCGTGACGAGACGTCGGAGAGAGAATGTTGTGTCTAGTTTTGAGAGAGAGCGAGAGAGAGCGTGTTACAACCGATTCCTTGTGGGATGTGAAGGAGCTTTCCTCGTCCCCCCAAATGTGTCTGCCGGCACCCAAGCACAATGTCGACGTACAAAGGGGGAGCGCGTGACGAGACGTCTGGAGAGAGGAGGTTGTGTGTCCACAGTCTTGAGAGAGAGAGAGCGCGTTACAACCGATTCGCTGGGAGCCAGGGCTGTGAGTCTCTCTCTGCGAGTCGCTGGGAGCCAGGGCTGTGAGTCTCTCTGTGCGAGTCGCTGGGAGCCAGGGCTGTGAGTCTCTCTATGCGAGTCGCTGGGAGCCAGGGCTGTGAGTCTCTGCGAGTCGCTGGGAGCCAGGGCTTGTGAGTCTCTCTATGCGAGTCGCTGGGAGCCAGGGCTGTGAGTCTCTGCGAGTCGCTGCGAGTCGCTGGGAGCCAGGGCTGTGAGTCTCTGCGAGTCGCTGGGAGCCAGGGCTGTGAGTCTCTGCGAGTCGCTGGGAGCCAGGGCTGTGAGTCTCTGCGAGTCGCTGGGAGCCAGGGCTGTGAGTCTCTCTCTACGAGTCGCTGGGAGCCAGGGCTGTGAGTTTCTGCGAGTCGCTGCGAGTCGCTGGGAGCCAGGGCTGTGAGTATCTGCGAGTCGCTGGGAGCCAGGGCTGTGAGCCTCTCTCTGCGAGTCGCTGGGACGCAGGGCTGTGAGTCTCTGCGAGTCACTGGGAGCCAGGGCTATGAGTCTCTCTCTACGAGTCGTGTGCAGGGCAAGGTGAGCTCAAACACATGACATTTGATCTAAAGCTTTCCTGCCCCCCCCCCCCCCCCCCAAGTTTGTCTCCCTGAAGCCCCCTTCCCCGCGTCCCCGACGCACCAAGCAACACGATCGGGGCTCGCCTTGGCCAGACGGCGGCTCAAAGTCGGATCCGCGGCGGGGGCGAGGTGCGGGCAACTCCGTCATGCCACTCTTCCGATGCGTGCGTCTGGCCGGCGTGGAAGAGTTTGCCAAAACACCAAACAAAAAATATTCTCTGGTGAGATGGCGTCTACTCGTGGAGCGCTTCAACCCTCTGGCGGGGAAGCCCTTTCCGTCAGCGGTGGCGTGAGAAGGCCGTTGCAGGGCTGCGCCTTTGGCCCGCGGAGACTCACACTTCCTCTTCGAACCTCGGTGTTTGTGTTTTTTCGGCAAACTGATTGAATGCTTTTTTCTGTACCGGGCGAGGTAAGAGCGCACCCGCTGGGTCGCCTCAGCCTGAATTCGAGGAGGGACCACTTTACAGGCCACACCTCTCAACCCGTCATCAATCCCCTGTAACTTATCACAGAACAATTCAGACCTTATTGGTCACCCCGTGCCCATGGTAAATCTCAACGTTCACCCCCACAAAGTCTCCCATCACAAGGGAGAAGCAAACCAATGGACAAAAACGTTTGCCCGTATTGGAACGGCGGCATGCCCGTCATGGACCTGACATCTCAAATTTCCCTGCGACAAGAATACGGGGAGTAAACCGTGATGGGTTTACAGCTATGAGAGCCACCGCTTTCGTGTCGGCCCCAGCCTGAGGTGGTAGCGCCTGCCCCCTTCCTCCTAGGTTGGCTCAGCCTGAAATGAGAATGTTAAGACGTCGATGAATATTTTGATTCTTAAGCTCGCGAGCGCTTTGCGTGAAATCGCGTGTTTGGTGAATCGACTAAAGAAGTCGCGTGATTCATCCGGGGTTATCGTGACCTCACGACCACCTTACAGCCACTAGAGGCCGATATAGTCCCCACAGTGTTATATACAACAACAAATATATAGAATCGATTATTGGATTCGATAGAATCGCGAAAATTGAATCGCCCCGCAACCCCCCCCCCCCCGGGCGAGGTGGAGTTGGTGTGGTCCTCCTCTGGGTGGACTCGGTCTGAAATGCATCTGTCATTGAGATCTGTCGACAGAGCTAACCTCGGGGTTGCCACCTTTACCACCACCACCACCCTCAGCTACGTCTCAAGTCAGCACTGGGGTCGATCATCAGAACTGTGTGCAGTTGACCAACCCGAACGCATTCCTCGACTGTCCCGGTAAAACCTGGACGGGTGGCAACCCCCCGGTTATTAAACCTGGTGCTGGAGAGAATGAAGTTGCCATGGTGGTTATTTTTTTGTGGGTTTCATCACACGTTGACATCTAAAGCAAGTTTTACGGTCGTAAGGTTTTTAGATTCGGAACTCCGCTTATCCGCGATGATCTGGCGGTGGGGGTAGACCAAATATGGGGCGCTGCGTTGGCAAGGAGATGTTAACTACCTCGCCTGGTATGGAGGATGTTGTGGGTTCGAACCCAACTCTGATGATGCCTGCTGTATATTTGGAGTTTGCGTGTCTCTCTCTCTCCCCGTGGTCGTGTGGATTTTTTCTCCGGGTCCTCCGATTCCCCTCCCCCCACCCCCTTCCACATTTAGAATCAACGTCACGCGTTTCGATTGTTCGGCTGCTGCCAAACATTTTCCTGCGACGGTGACGAGCCCGCTTCGTTCGAGCTATCATTTGCGATGGCCAGGTCGCTTCTGAAAATTGTCTCTCGAGCGCTAAGTGTGGGGGGCGGGGCGGGGGGGGCCTCAGCTGGCAAGACAAAAACATTTCAAGGGTTGCCTGCCACGATTTTTTACTCCGCTTATCCGCGCGTCGTGGGCAGCCGGCGGCGGCTTCTGGAATCTCTCTCCAGACTGCAGGAGAAATCCGCTGAGCTTCAAAGCTCTGTTTTTCGCTTGCGTGGGAAGCCTTCATCCAGCAGTGGATTGATCGTGGCTGGTGATCGGGGGGGGCGGGCTACAGCGGTGAGTGACCGAGAGCGACCGTGGATCCCACCGGCTACGATGCGGATAATAGGGGGGGGGGGGGGGGTGTTGCGGATAAGAGGAGTTCTGTGAATGACAGTAAACCATTGATTTAAACCTACTAACGAAACAGAAAATGCTGCGGCGTTTAAATGTCCCCTCATTTCCATCGCGAATGCACTGCTTGGCTTGAAAAAAATTTGTTTAAAAAAAATAATAAAATGTATAAAAATAAATGTTTACATTGTGTTTTTGTTGTGTGTGTGTACACATTTCGAAGTGTTTGATAAATACATATATAGTAGCACATAATTTCTGTAACTTTCGCCCCTGTTTGGTTCGATGTCGACCCAAACCGCCTGCTGTATATTTGGAGTTTGCGTCTCATTTTTCTTTCCGTGGTCGCGAAGATTTTTCTCCGGGGCCTGCTCCGAGATTTTCCCTCCACATTTTGAAACGTGCGTTTAGAGTAATTGGCTGATATCCATTTCCACTTGATTAATAAGCCACTTCGCTGGGCTATCATTTGTGGCCAGGTCGCTTCTGAAAGAGCGTTCTCCCGCATCGCTCAGTGGGCCTTAGCTGGTCAAAATAAAATATAATAGTTTATAGAAGAACATCCTTCATTGTTGGGAACAAACACAATGAAAATAGGCCAATCAGTTTCAAAGACGGTGCCAAATATTAGTATCAGAGCCATGTTTTGTCTGCATGTTCACCACAAGGACTGTGTGGTAAATGCAGTAACGTGATTCCTTGCAAAATATATCTACAGTATTTGATGTTTGAACATCTTAACACAACTGTTTAATTGCCAGAAGGGGCGGG